ACAATGAAGTACTACGTGGCAATGAGAAAAAATGAAATATGGCCTTTTGTAGCAACGTGGATGGAACTGGAGAGTGTGATGCTAAGTGAAATAAGCCATACAGAGAAAGACAGATACCATATGGTTTCACTCTTATGTGGATCCTGAGAAACTTAACAGGAACCCATGGGGGAGGGGAAGGAAAAAAAAAAAAAGAGGTTAGAGTGGGAGAGAGCCAAAGCATAAGAGACTGTTGAGAACTGAGAACAAACTGAGGGTTGATGGGGGGTGGGAGGGAGGAGAGGGTGGGTGATGGGTATTGAGGAGGGCACCTTTTGGGATGAGCACTGGGTGTTGTATGGAAACCAATTTGACAATAAATTTCATATATAAATAAAAAAAAATTAAAAATTCAAAAAAATTCAAAAAAAAATTTTTTTTAAAGGAGTAAAAAATAAAACACTGATTTTAATAAAAAAAAAATTTTTAAATGCCCTACTAAATGTGCCTATAGTTTGAGTGACTGAGAGATCTTTAAAACTACAACCCAGCAATTGCACTACTAGGTATTTATCCAAGGGATACAGGTGTGCTGTTCTGAAGGGACACACGTACCCCAATGTTTATAGCAGCACTATCGACAACAGCCAAAGTATGGAAAGAGCCCAAATGTCCATCAATGGATGAATGGATAAAGAAGATGTGGTATATATACACAATGAAGTATTACTCGACAATCAAAAAGAATGAAATCTTTGTCATTTGCAACTACGTGGATGGAACTAAAGGGTATTATGCTAAGGGAAATTAGTTAGAGAAAGACAAATATCATGATTTCACTCATATGAGGACTTTAAGAGACAAAGCAGATGAACATAAGGGAAGGGAAACAAAAATAACATAAAAACAGGAAGGGGAACAAAACGTAAGAGACTCATGGAGAACAAACAGAGGGTTACTGGAGGGGGGATGGGAGGGGGGATGGGCTAAATGGGTAAGGAGCACTAAGGAATCTACTCGTGAAATCATTGTTGCACTATATGCTAACTAATTTGGGTGTAACTTGAAAAAAATAAAATTATAAATAATTAAAAAATAAAATAAAATAAAATAATAAAAGTTGATTTTAAGTTTAAAATTGAAAGAATGATAGGTGAAAACTCAACATACATTATCACATACAGAAGTAGCTAAGACATAGTATCAAGATAAGGTAGATGGTCCTTCTCTCCTTAGTATAGATGCACCGAATGAACAGGAGGGCATAAATCACATATGTATATGTTTACATATTATCTCTTTGAGAGGTATATTTTATGTACAACCAGAGAAACACATATGGCATTTGATCAAATGCTCCTAACTCCAAACCTTTTTGAGTGACAAGAAACAATTGACTAGTCTTTATCTCTGAAGGGGAAGAAGCTTATGAGGATTATGAAAAGTTCATTCATTTCTTGTAAGTCATCTATTCCACAATGTTAATTGTTACTCGGTCCAGGAAAACAGAATAAGAAACTCATGGCTCACAGTTCTCTTAAATACTCAAATATTTCAAAATAAGTATTTAAAATAGAACAGGAAATACATTTTCTGTCTGGTTAACACCCAAAGTATAGGGAGAAAGTATTTTAGGAAATTTGATTAGTAATACAAAATGAAACCAAAAGAGGGAAAATGAGAGTTAGAAAAAGAAATAGAAAAATCCCTTATCTGAGATGGTCAGTTTTCACTGGAATGGATAAAATATTTTCTCAGAGCAATTTGAATTAAAGAGGTTTTTTAATTTGTTTTGAACTGATAATATATGTATGAGATAATAAATTCAAACAGAATAAGAATCTACCTAGATAGAAAATAGTCTTCCTCTCACCCCTACCTCCAGACCTCCAGTTCTACATCTGGAAGGCAACCACTTCAACCAGTTTCTTGATATCTTATACAACCTTCTCAACCTGACCTATGCAAATACAATTACATACATGCCCCTCCTATTTTATTCAAATGAAAGTATACTATCCATACTGTTTTCTCCTTGCTCTTATCCCCACTGAAAAAATATGTCTTAGATGACTTAAAATGTATTTATTTCTTTATTTTGCCATGTACTATTGTAACTTACTTTTTACTGAAAGTATCTTGCATTCATGATGGATGCTTTCTGAGTTTTGGCAAACATTTTAATTTTAAACATTAAATTATTTTTTACATGCAAATAATGTGAAGTTTCCCCCACATGGGATCACTGATGATGACCTAAAACTTAAGGTATCAGTGGGAACGCTCTAATTCCTTGAATAAATACATATATTCATATATGTACATAAGGGAGAAAGACATACATGTTATGTCTAATGATAATAAATAAGGGAGAAGGGAAAGTTCTAGCTTATAGTAGAAGACCAACTTCTGATTTAGTACATGTTCAGGGAGTGTAGCTGGGAAATCATTATTTTGCAATCAATTTAATAAATATTGTTCTAGGCAAGAATTATCAATAGATATTAAATATTAAGTAGATATTAGATATTAAATATAGAGAAGAATCTTTTGAGGAGCAGGATATTTGTATGGTCTTAGAGTGTTTCTCCAAAGATCTGTATTAGTTGCAATGGGAACATAATACATTTGAGAAATTGGACAACACCTTGACTAAGGGGTCAAAATAATGTTACTGATGAGGGGGTAGATGAACACTGTGTGTCTCCACATGTGATGCCATGAGAAGGACATAACATCACTTAAGTAGTATTTGAGCTAGGAATGCATAACCTGGATCAAATCCTGAGAGATCATCACATGAGCCTCAAATGAGGTAAGTTTATTTTTTAAGGGATTATATTCTCTAAGAATGCTAATGTCACAAAAGACAAAGAAAGATTGTGGAAATGTTTCAGATAAAAGGAAACTGAAGAGACATGACAACTATATACACTGATTCTAAACTAGATCCTGTATATAAAAATTCAAATATACATATCACATACATGTATAATACATACATTTACATACCTTTATATGTAAATTTATCTCTATATATTACAAATAGAGATAAATATACATATTTCTATATTAAAGAGAGAAAAAGAGAGATGTATATATCTATAGACATATATAATAATATAGAGACAGAAGCAAGTAGTAAATAAATAATAAAGCAAATGGGGATTAAATGTTGAAATAAGTGAATGAATCTGGGTAAAGGGCATAATATGTCCTTTGTACTAATCTTATTTTTTTCAAATGTTTATTTTATTTATTTTCCAGAGAGAGAGAGAGCACACAAGCAGGAGAGGGGCAGAGAGAGAGGGAGAGAATCCCAAGCAGGCTCCGTCCTGTCAGTGCAGAGCTCAAGGCAGGGCTTGAACCCATGAACCATGAGATCAAAACCTGAGTCTCAACCAAGAGTTGGATGCTTAACTGACTGAGACACCCAGACACCCCAATCTTACTTTTGAAATTTTTCTGAGATTGAAATTATTCGAACTAAACAAAATATAAAACCAAAACTATGTATTAGAAACTTCTCTGTCACTGTATATTCATCTAACCTATTTTCCCCTTTTTTTGTTTTTCCTTTTTTGATTGAGATATAATTTACATCAATAAAATACACAGATTTTTAAGGGCATAAGTCAATTAGCTCTGACAAGTGCTAATTACACACATGTAATACATGTGTGTAATACATTACATGTATTACACACATGTAATACCATCCAATCAAGATATACATTTCCCTAGAAAGTTCCCTTGTGTCTCCTTCCAATCAATTTTCACTACCCTTCACCCCTAACAGCAGCCACCATGTGATTTTCTAACACTATAGCTTAGGTTTGCCTCTTGTTAAACTTTGTATAAAAAGAATCACAGAACATACACCCTTTAGTGTCTAATTTCTTTCTTTCAAGAGAATATTTTGGAGATGTAGCCATGCTGTTATAAATATCAATACTTCATTCTTTTTATTGCTTAATGTCATTCCGTTATGTGACTATGCCACAATTTCTTTATCCATTCACCAGCTGATGGACATTCTTGTACATGTCTCTTTGTGGACATGTGTTTTCACTTTTCTTGGTTGGGTCATAGGTTAGGTATATGTTAGTTGCCACCTGTTTTCACTACGGTTATATCATGACTTATCACTTTTGATGGCTACAAAGTATTTAATTGATTGTGTAGACCATTATTTATTTAACCACTCCCCTGTTGTTGGTCATTATGGTGTTTCCAAGCATTTATCATTACAAACAATTTGGCAATGAATATCATTGTATATGCAGATTTATGCACATGTGTGAGAATATCTATAGAATAACTTTCATAGGAAGGTCAAAGAGTGTGTACACTTTAATTTTTGATAAATGCAGCCAATTAGTCCTTCATATCGATCATTACCAACTTTATTCCAATCAGCAAAGTATGAAAGTGGCTGTTTCCCCCATATCTCAGCCAAAATTACAGGTAAAATTTTTAACCTTGCCATTTTAATTTGTTTTCCTTTGATGAGTATCACATGTTGGTTTTATTTTTATTCTATAGTTAACTACATTTGTGTCACTCCATGTATTAGACCCTTATTTTCTTTTACCCATACCCTTACAATATCCCTCCTGCTTTCCACTTTCTACAGTCTTGAGCACCATCTTCAGATTATATAACTCCAATACCACATTACCCAAGTCACTCCCCAACTGAAAAACCTTCACTGATCCCCACTGCCTACTGAATGAAATCCAGACCTTTTATCCTTACACTGAAAACCTATTCCATGTTTTCTATTTTTTTCCTTCCAAACACTTATCCTATATATATTCCAACAAAAATGGGGCTTCCCCAGGGACCTCACATAAAGTGTGTACTTCCTGCCTCCATGTCCTTACACACGCTGTTCCCTCTGCCCAGAATGCCCTCCTCTCTCTGCCTGTGGAGTCCTACCTTCCTTAGAAACTCAGCCCAAATGCCATCTTCTCCACAGGCCCTGACCAAAAGCAGACAAGATGAAAAGTAATGCTTACCGGCACTTTCATTTTAAATTCATCTCGATAATACTTAATGCCAATGTCAGTGAATGTCCTCTGGATAAAGCGAGATGGACGAAGGATGAATATAAGCTGCAAATTTCCTGGAAATGCTACCTGGAAGGATCATGGAAAGTGTCAGGGCAACTGTCACATCCATTGGTCTCCTTTTGCCCAAGATCACAGAAAGGAAAGTTGAAGTAGACACCAGAGATGCCAAAGAATTAGAATATACATTATAGAATTTCAGAGCTGAAAGAGATAATATTCGAGTAATACAAACCCCCCCTTAAAAATCATACCAAATCAAAAAACCAAAAAATTTCTGATTATAAAAGTATTTCACACTCCTTACAGAAAAAATTCAGAAAATGATGAAAGTATACATTAAGAAAAGAAAACCACCAAAATCACCCATGATCTCATAGCCATTTTTAATATTTCAATCTAATTACTTACAGGCTATTTTCTCTGCTGAAATATCTTTCTCATGGTTGAACTCATACTAGACACATTTTGTAACTTGATTTTTTACTTAATATTATACCATGAGCTTTTATTTCTGTTATTAAAAATTCTTTGGAAACATTATTTTTCATGGGTGTGCAATTTATTTAACCAATCCCTTATTGCTAATGATTTAGGCCTTTCCATACTTTTATCATTATAAATAATACTGAAATGAACATCTTTATTCACATTTGAAACATTTTCTTAGGATAATTTCCCAAAAGAATTATTGACTCAAAGAGTTAGTATTTTAGATGGCTCCTGATGCATATTATTGCCAACTTGTTTTCAGGAAGCCTTGCCTTCATCTTGAGGTAAGGTCCTAAGAAATAAGATAACTCAGATTCATATAACAATTTAATGGCACATATGAGATTCCAAGTCTCCAATTGCTCGTGGCTTCCTTTTCTTCTAGTGGTTCCCCAAAGCAACCTCCCAAGGTGTTTGTTAAAAAAATAAATCTGGTCTTTACCCTGAAATATTCTGATTCACTAGAACTGGGATGAAGTTCACGTATCTATTTTCAACAAGCACCTGACAATTCTGATTAGAAGCCAGATTTGGAGATCCCTGAACTACAGTGTCTTTTAGGCATAAAGTGATAATGTACTTCTTGAACAAATTAGGCTCAAATATTAGATTATTCAAGATTGCCAATGGATCCTGGGAAACTAGAATTCTCTTGAGGTCAGTCCTCTAAAATAGTCATGGGCACTGTCAGGTGTCTAAATCCTCAGAGTATGGACCACAAAATAAATCCTGTAGCCAAACTAAACCAAAGGAACAAAACAATCCATGCACAAAGTGAAGGAAGTCTTCCTTTCCCTCATCTTTGAAATGCAAGCTCATAGGAGCGCCTGGGTGGCTCAGTCGGTTAAGCAGCCGACTTCGGCTCAGGTCATGATCTCACAGCCCGCGAGTTTGAGCCCCGCGTCGGGCTCTGTGCTGACAGCTCAGAGCCTGGAGCCTGTTTCCGATTCTGTGTCTCCCTCTCTCTGACCCTCCCCCGTTCATGCTCTGTCTCTCTCTGTCTCAAAAATAAATAAATGTTAAAAAATAAAAAAAAAAGAAATGCTAGCTCATAAACAGAAGAAGCTTTTATTTTGTTATGTCATAATAAGACAAATGGGCTGAGACACTATTTGTGTTTCTGGCTAAGGCTCTAGATCTGAGACTCTGTAATATGTGCATGTTTGCATGTGTGACTGCCTTTGTAAGTAGGCCTAAGTGAGGTTACAAATGTTCCTCTCTCATCCCAGCCTCCTACACACACATCACCACCCTATTATCTTATCCTCTTCATCCAGTCCCAACTGCCTTAGGCAACCCGTGCTTTCGTGAAAATGCTGGTATGGCTGCTCTGAGGTGTCTGCCTGCTCATGTGGTTGAATTCCCTGGTCTGAGGTCCCTAAGGAGAGAAAGGATACATCTACTTGCTGAAAGGCAACACAGAGAGAGCAAAATCAGACTGATTAGATGGAAAAGGAAATTCATCCAAGGTTGTACAATTTCATACCAAAAGCAAGCACACGTCATATTTTGTCTGGTTTTTCCCATGTCTTTCAATATGGGAAAAACTAATTTGAATACTGAAATGAAGACTGGCTTACGCTGGGTGACCCCTCACCCCACAAAGCAAATCCCAAGACAAGGATCTGGGCATAGAGTTTATTGAGGAGGTGATCCCAGAAAACATAGTGAAGGAGTGGGGGAAGATGAGAACGTGATAACTAGAGAGCCAATGTATCAAGGGGGGCACTGCCGTGAGCAAGAAGGTCTGGGTCCTCTGAGATACTATGTGGTATATATCTCAGAATTGTCCCACTGAGGGGGGTGCAGAAGCTGGAGTATTTATCTATCAATTCCCATAACTCAATAGTTGGTCACTCCTGGGGCATTAACTTTCCAGCACTCCAGGTGACCAGAGAGATCAATAAGGTAGATTCAGGAAGCTTTGGACATGCTCAGGAATTGTCTGCAGTGACCTGCAGGTAGGTGGCAGAGGGGACATGGATGTGACACACAGCCTCTGCTACAGAGACCTTCCCAAAATTTTGCATAAAATAATCGCCTTTTCCTTGTGACTTTGACATGAAATACTTGAACAATTTAAATTACTTTTATAATAACATCACAAAAATGAATATTTACAGCTATTCGTGTCAATGATGCTTTTATGGAGCTCCACTTGTCCCTTCGTCGGTCAATAACAATGACGAATCCAATGCTGGCAGCCTCCACACTGCAAAAAAAAAAAGGGTGGTCAGTATCAGAGACCTGGTGAGACACATGGGTTCTGGGTGGCTCTCTAAGTAGTACATTCTACAGCCTCTGGCACTCCTGGCTCATGTGTAAACATATGCATTGTTCTTCCCTAACAAAGGAACCAACTTCCTCTCCTTAACTCAGTCTGGCAGCCTTAACAAAACAGAAACACTTGGCATCTCAGACTCTCTCAAGGGCTCTGTTTATGGTTGGCAAGTGTCTGAAATACCCAAGGAGCATATGTGCTCATACCAGAAGGAACATGCACGTCAGTTAGGCATCACACGTCCCAGTGTATGCTGAGGACTTCAAGGTTGAGCTCTGCTGTCTTTCCAACTCCCAAAACTGACATTCATGGAGCTATCAATATGCTTCCATAGGAGTCAGTCCTAGAGGTGTTCAGAAATAATGCATGTCTGTGGGAAAAACAACCCCCTTCCAATGCCCGGTTATACACAGTCAGCAAATTATATCCACTGACAAATTATATCTTCACTAAGAACCAAAGGATGTTGTTTGGCCCCTCCTAAGTCCCCACAAAATTCTTTTAAGCTGAAGTCCCAAAAATGAAAACATGTTTCTTCTTTCTCCTTTGGAAGGAACTATGATATACAGGAAAGAGCAAAGGATTGGATTCTAGTAGCTCAAATCCTAGTGCTGCCACTTATCAGCACTGTGACATTGGGGAAATCCTCTAACCTCTCTAAAACTCAGTTTCCCTCTCTGTAAAATGGAAATAACACCATCAATAATGAAGTCATTAAAAGCATAAATTCTGAAGCCACACTGCCTAGGTTTGAAGCTTGAATTCCAGCATTTATATATTGTGTATGGGGATGGAGAGAAGAGTTACTTAGCCTCTATAGTTTCTAAAATGTCCCATTTGTAAAGTAAGAACAAAAATAGTACCTATTTGTATGGCCAATGTGAGGATTAAATGAGTATATATGACAAAAATACATAAAAGGCTCAAAATAATGCCTGGTACTTAGCATATATACATTGTATTTATACTAATATTATGATTATTTCTTATGTGTTTGTCATGGTGATGAAAAGAGATCAAGTACATGAAAAGTAGGTGGTCTCTAGTAAACCTTTAATAACTTCTTAATATTGGGTAAACAATGAGCTTTACCCTAAAAAAGTGCCTGTATGTGAATAAGGCAGATGATCTAAGCAAATACTGTAAGAAAACACAAGTTTTCTTGTGTTTTATCACAGTTCCACTATGACCCAGGTTCTCCCACTGGGAACATTTCCCAGGACACAGTACGAGGAGGGGTGTTCTCACTGTGTAAAAGAGGAAGAGACTGGCGATTATGAAAGCAAAAGTAGCCAGAACTTGAGGAGGGTGGCTGCGAAGAAGGAAAGTCTCAGAGAGGGAACCCCAGAAATCTTCATGGAAGTTCTCCTTTAATGCTTGGCCAACTCCGAGGCCCACTGTTTCAGGCAAGATTCCAGGAGGCTGACAGAGAACAACAACTACACATGTGAGAACTGATGAAAAGTTATAAAGTTTAAATATCTCTGGAGAAAGATAATTGGCATTGGGCCCAACAAGAATAGACAGAATTTGATGAGCACTCTGGGCCTTTAGTTGAAACCCTAGAAAGGCCATACTCTATGAAACATCATAGGAATTGTGATTAAGGTTACACTCTAGGAGTAAGGACAAAGCAGAAATGGACTGGCCCCCAAGAAAACCTAAAACCAGACCTCAAAAAGATCAAGGCGATCTACCAGTAATTTAACTTTCTGACAAATTGAAACTCAATGCTCTCTGTAAATAGATACACCTCTACAACATATCATCTACAATATCCAGGGTAAATTAAAAAATTAATAGAAGTCCAAAAAAACAAGAAGAAAACAATAATTAAGAGATAAAATGGTCAAGAACTATAGACTCAAAGATATTCCTGGTTTTAGCAGACAACAACTTTAAAATAATTATGATCAATATGTTAAGAAAAATAATTATGATCCATACACATAGACAAAATGGATTAAAAGATGCATTATTTCAGCTGAAAATCAGAAACTATAATAATCAAATGAACTTCCTAAAATTACAAAACGCCAGGGGCACCTGGGTGGCTCAGTCAGTTAAGAGTCTGACTTCAGCTCAGGTCATGATCTTGTGGATCGTGGGTTCAAGCCCCGCATCAGGCTCTGTGCTGACAGCTCAGAGCCTGGAGCCTGCTTCGGATTCTGTGTCTCCCCCTCTCTCTCTGCCCCTCCCCCCCTTATCTCTCTCAAAAATAAATAAACATTAAAAAAATTACAAAACACCAATATTTGAAATTAAGAATTCATTGGATTTGTTTAACAGCAGCTTGAACACAGCACAGATAGGTGAAACTGAAAACATCACTGAAAATACTCAAACTGAAGCACAGACAGGGGGAAAAGAGGAAAGAATATAATGTAATAGAATGTAAAAGAGAAGTAGAACATGAACAGAAACAATATTTAAAAAAAATAACAATGAAGAGTTTTCCATATCTGATCAAAGGCCTCAACTCACAGATTCAAGCAGCTCTTCTAATACCAAGCAAAATAAATACAAAGAAAACTTCACCAGGCATATCAGAGCCAAGTGGCTCAAAATTAAAGATAAGAAGAAACCCAGCATTTGGTGAAAAAAATTATTAACTCCAGAAGATTAATGTTAAAAATTATCACTGGCTTTTCAACAAAAATTACAGAAGCTACAATCCAATGCAATGTTATCTTTAGAGGAGTAACCTGAAAAAAAACGACCCATTTAGCATCCTACACGAACTGAAAATTCATCTTATTTTTTTATTTTTTATTTGTTTGGTTTTTTTTCATATATATAATTTATTGTCAAGTTAGCTAACAGAGTATACAGTGTTCTCTTGGCTTTGGGAGTAGATTCCCATGATTCATCACTTACATACCATACCCAATGCTGATCCCAACAAGTGCCCTCCTCAATGCCCAGTACCCATTATCCTCTCCCCCCTCTGCCCTCCCCATCAACCCTCAGTTTGTTCTCTGCATTTAAGAATCTCTTATGGTTTGTTTCCCTCGGTTTCTAACTATTTTTTCCTTCCCTTTCCCCGTGGTCTTCTGTTAAGTTTTTCAAATTCCATATGTGAATGAGAACATATGATACCTGTATTTCTCTGACTGACTTATTTCATTCAGCATAATACCCTCCAGTTCCATCCACATTGTTGCAAATGGCAAGAGTTCATTCTTTTTCATTGCCAAGTAGTATTCCATTGTGTGTGTGTGTGTGTGTGTGTGTGTGTGTGTGTGTATTACACCACATCTTCTTTATCCATTTTTTTCAATATATGAAATTTATTGTCAAATTAGTTTCCATACAACACCCAGTGCTCATCCCAAAAGGTGTCCTCCTCAATACCCATCACGCACCCTCCCCTCCCTCCCACCCCCATCAACCCTCAGTTTGTTCTCAGTTTTTAAGAGTCTCTTATGCTTTGGCTCTCTCCCACTCTAACCTCTTTTTTTTTTTCCTTCCCCTCCCCCATGGGTTTCTGTTAAGTTTCTCAGGATCCACATAAGAGTGAAACCATATGGTATCTGTCTTTCTCTGTATGGCTTATTTCATTTAGCATAACACTCTCCAGTTCCATCCACATTGCTACAAAGGGCCATATTTCGTTCTTTCTCATTGCCATGTAGTACTCCATTGTGTACATAAACCACAATTTCTTTATCCATTCATCAGTTGATGGACATTTAGGCTCTTTCCATAATTTGGCTATTGTTGAGAGTGCTGCTATAAACATTGGGGTACAAGTGCCCCTATGCATCAGTACTCCTGTGTCCCTTGGATAAATTCCTAGCAGTGCTATTGCTGGGTCATAGGATAGGTCTATTTTTAATTTTCTGAGGAACCTCCACACTGTTTTCCGGAGTGGCTGCACCAATTTGCATTCCCACCAACAGTGCAAGAGGGTTCCTGTTTCTCCACATCCTTGCCAGCATCTATAGTCTCCTGATTTGTTCATTTTGGCCACTCTGACTGGCGTGAGGTGATATCTGAGTGTGGTTTTGATTTGTATTTCCCTGATAAGGAGCGACGCTGAACATCTTTTCATGTGCATGTTGGCCATCCAGATGTCTTCTTTAGAGAAGTGTCTATTCATGTTTTCTGCCCATTTCTTCACTGGGTTATTTGCTTTTCGGGTGTGGAGTTTGGTGAGCTCTTTATAGATTTTGGATACTAGCCCTTTGTCCGATATGTCATTTGCAAATATCTTTTCCCACTCCGTTGGTTGCCTTTTAGTTTTGTTGGTTGTTTCCTTTGCTGTGCAGAAGCTTTTTATCTTCATAAGGTCCCAGTAATTCACTTTTGCTTTTAATTCCCTTGCCTTTGGGGATGTGTCGAGTAAGAGATTGCTACGGCTGAGGTCAGAGAGGTCTTTTCCTGCTTTCTCCTCTAGGGTTTTGATGGTTTCCTGTCTCACATTCAGGTCCTTTATCCATTTTGAGTTTATTTTTGTGAATGGTGTGAGAAAGTGGTCTAGTTTCAACCTTCTGCATGTTGCTGTCCAGTTCTCCCAGCACCATTTGTTAAAGAGACTGTCTTTTTTCCATTGGATGTTCTTTCCTGCTTTGTCAAAGATGAGTTGGCCATACGTTTGTGGGTCTAGTTCTGGGGTTTCTATTCTATTCCGTTGGTCTATGTGTCTGTTTTTGTGCCAATACCATGCTGTCTTGATGATGACAGCTTTGTAGTAGAGGCTAAAGTCTGGGATTGTGATGCCTCCTGCTTTGGTCTTCTTCTTCAAAATTACTTTGGCTATTCGGGGCCTTTTGTGGTTCCATATGAATTTGAGGATTGCTTGTTCTAGTTTCGAGAAGAATGCTGGTGCAATTTTGATTGGGATTGCATTGAATGTGTAGACAGCTTTGGGTAGTATTGACATTTTGACAATATTTATTCTTCCAATCCATGAGCAGGGAATGTCTTTC